AACGACACTTGATGTAAAATTATTACCGGGTAAAGTTATTCCCATGGAATTTGTCGTATTTCCGGACGCCCAGGATAATGACACATTATTGGGTGTAGACTTTTTAGTAGCAGCTGGTTTAGCCATCGACTTCCATACTTCGACATGGCGCTACCATGGTTCTGAACGAGTTTTTCCATTGGAGTTCGAGTACCCCAGTGACCTCACGCCTTGTTCTGCTGCTGATTTCTTAAGAGAAGACGAGGGAACTATGCTGTGTCCTCCAGAGCGTTAACCGCCTAGCTTCTCTTCTGCAGTGCAACGAGGATGTCTTCAGACCAGGGGGAGCCCCAATGCCTTACGCTGAACATCATCAGGATGATAGGAAGTAGCAAACCGACAAAATTCAGTTCTCTGGTCCCAGTTACCAAGTAGGTGATCTAGTCCTTCTCTCTACGCACTTGTTAAGTGATGCCGCCAAAGGTAGAACGAAGAAGTTCATGCCTAAGCGTGACGGACCCTACCAGATTAGTAATATCGTTAGTCCTACTACCTATGAGGTTACTGATTTGAATTCGCAGGTTTTAGGGAAATTTCATGCTTCTCATTTGAAGCCGTATCATAATCAAACCGGTCAGGTCTCAGCTCCAGTACAGCCTCGACGCCTGCGTGGACGGCCCCGCCTTGTTGTTTCTGCCGAGCCACCAACGAGGCGTTCTAGTGACTCGGAGGGGGAGGATATAACGGAACGTAATTTCCGAACGTGCGATACCGCCCCCGCCGCCGCCTTACCGCCCGTTGAGACAGAGCTCTCTGAGCGCAAAAACACACGCCCTCAGCGCGCGCGACGACGACCAGTAAGATATTGCGAGTCTTAGTGTAACTGTACGATTCTCAACTCATTTTGTATTTTATTTTAGTTATTGTGTCGCTTTTATATTAAAACCTCATACCAAATCGGCGTAAACATTATTTCTATATCATCTTCGCCAACAGCCCGGAACAACGAACTCACGAAAACTCACAAAAGCCCGCCAGTCGGACTTGTAGTGTTAAACAATTTAATTATAGTCGAATTTCGACTACTGCGGGACCTCTAGTACATATAAACCTTCCTCTGCAATCACTCTATCTATTAAAAAAAACACATCAAAATCCGTTGCGTAGTTTTAAAGATTTAAGCATACATAGGGACAGATATAGGGACAGAGAAAGCAACTTTGTTTTATACTATGTAGTGACTACTATACTACAACATCTAACAATATAAATGCAAAAATTTCAAAAAAATTTAAAGGACAAAATCTTTTAGTGAGTATTGATTTTATTGAAACAAACCTTAAAATCGGCTCTCAATTAACTCGTCTACCCGTGAAAACTACATGAAAATCCTTTCAGTGGATTCGAAAAAGTGGACGAATAAAGGAATAGATAGACAGAAAAGAACTTCCAACATGGCTGGTTTATGTTCTATTACTTTTCATAAGTTAGTTCAGTCGTCGTGACCTAAAGGATAAGACGTCTGGTGCATTCGTATTGAGCGATGCAAGGGTGTTCGAATTCCACAGGCGGGTACCAATTTTTCTAATGAAATACGTACTTAACAAATGTTCACGACTTACTTCCGCGGTGAAGGAGTGACATAATTTAATAAAAATCAAACCCGAAAAATTATAATTTGCGTAATTACTGGCGGTGGGACCTCTTGTGAGTCCGCAAGGGTAGGTACCACCACCCTGCCTATTTCTGCCGTGAAGCACTAATCCGTTTCGGTTTGAAGGGTGGGGCAGCCGTTGTAACTATACTTGAGACCTTAGAACTTATATCTCAAGGTGGGTGGCGCATTTACGTTATAGATGTCTATGGGCTCCGGTAACCAATTAATACCAGGTGGGCTGTGAGCTCGTCCACCCATCTGAGCAATAAAAAATTAATAAATAAAAACACGTGTGGCACTCGGGGACTGCCGCGGTAAAGCTATTGCATAGCATTTTTTATCAACTTATGCAATTATAGTTAGACAATAATAATTTAATATTATAACAATAATAAAATAAAACCAAGCTATATTTATATACATTAACAAAAGCAAAACATTAACTCTCCGCTTCACACTCATAGGCTAGAGAGAGAGAGAGAGGGAGAGATGGGCAGACTTTTCATGATGCGCATGCAGTGCGACGTCACGCCGCGTGCTTATTCACAAACACTACGCAAGCGCAACGTGTGAATGTCTTGAGCGTGAGCTACATAGTAGGCGGAGTGGGAGGTGTTAGGTTTTATTTTCGTTACGGAATTTCTTGATTCGGTCGCCGCGCTCAAAGCCCGCGATAAAAGCTATGCAATGGCTTAAAAACCTGATTTCTTTTCATTATCATTTTGAATTAATATTGATTACTTAAGACTTAAATGGATTAGACGTTTTACAGATTTTTAATCATAACAGTATCGATATTTGTTCTTCTTTAGCTTTATATAGTTGGGAACAAATCACGCACGGTCATTCCTCCCGATCCACTGACGGTGCTTCTAGGTACTTCAAGCACCGGTCACCGTTCTCGTCGAACCCGTCGCTTGCGACGAAGGGCTCGACGAGTAAATTAACTCTCAGACACAGCCCACTGAGTTTCTCGCCGGATCTTCTCAGTGGGTCGCGTTTCCGATCCGGTGGTAGATTCTGCGAAGCACGACTCTTGCTAGGGTTCATGTTAGCATCGTCGTCAGGTTTGAGCCCCGTGAGCTCACCTACTAGTTACGGTTACGCTGGAATAGCTCCTCTAGGCTACGAGCTAAGGTAGAAAAAAAAAAAAATAAGCACGGTCATCCGGCCCCCACATTAGGATTCCCTGTGTTATGGGTACCAGAGACTGACATATGTACATACTTAAATATGTTTAAATATATATGTACATATATTGATAATAAACACCAAGACAAGGACAAAACAAACCGGCTCATCACAAACCCATGACCCCCGAAGGAACAGTCAAGGGCGCTAGCTAATTGCATTACTGAGTCAGTCCTACCTTTTATACCTACATTTATTAACTTGTTATAATTGAATAGAACTTTTGTTATAATTCATAAATGCGTCATGTTTATGACAAAGTTCTGACTTGAAAATTATTGGTGTGAATCAGGTTTGATTTTAACCGGTTTCAAAATTAAAAAGTTTCAATCCTGTTTCTGGAATGAGGCAGTCTTGCATTCCGAATTTAAGGATGCGACAACTTTTATACTATTGCTATTTCTGACCTTGTACTGCAGACGGTAGAAGACTTCAAGAAAAAATTGCATATTGCCCTACTTGTATCTACATCGGAGTTATTTTTTATTTTATTTCCCGTGTAGGCACACGAGCATACGATCCACCTGATGGTGAGTGGTTACCGTCGCCCATGGACTTCAGAAATGCCAGAGGCAGAGCCAAGCCGCTGCCTACAAACGCTTCTATCTAAACTAGGGTTAAAATCCTGTAAACAGGTATACTTTCTAAAAACAAATTTAATTACAATCACAGAAAGACGAACTCAGAGCTCTTTTGATGGTAAGCGATCACCGTCTCTCGTCGCCTACCGCTAAAGACGCTCCACAAGCCTCGTTTGAAGAGGGACATGTCACGGTCGATATTTATTAGGGCAGGTATACATAATACCGGTAAAAGAATCAACAAGATGTTAAGGCGTTTACACAAGACTATAAATTATCACTTTCAAGTTTCCGCTGCAAAGCTAAAGCCATAAAAGTCTGCAACAGTTGAGCTTCTCGGCTCCTTTCTCTGTTTGCTTCAACGAAAAATTATATTCCAGACAAAATAATCAGAATTTTCAATCTACTAAAACAATATAGATACCAATCTAGAACGCGTCTAAATATCGTTTATCTGATTGAAATTCTTTTTCGTGCTCTAATTTATGAGCACAATATAAACGGCGCAGATATAATAAATATATAAGTAAGTGAGACACGGCTTACGAAGTTTTCCTTATAGGATTTTTAATTTTTTGTTTGTCAATTGTCGGTAAAACCAGTCACCGCTGTACTCTTCACCGGACTGGCTGTGTTTATAAGTTACCGAGAAATTTTATTTCAGCTTAATTAAATTACATACGCCTAGGAGACACGATGATTTCGGTAAGTTTCTTTTATATGTTTATTATATGTACATAATGCTGGTGAGTAATGTACTTTAACTATTATTTGTAACTAGTAGAACTTTGTAGAATTTTGAATAAAAAGTAATATCATATCTCAACTGGTAGCTACGCATAAGGTAAGTAGGTACCTACTTATTTTGAGTTATGTCGTATAAAAACAAAACTGATTTTATACTTATATAGTATAATTATTATTTACGCTTTGAGAAAAGTGTACTTGTGATATAAGGAAACATGTTGGTTTGTCTAAGTGGCTCATGATTTTTATAAAGATTTTTTTTATTTAATCCTTTAAAGACACCACCTACTAATACAATTGGTTATATTAATCGGATAAAAATTACACATGCATGCTATTTTTTCTGGTTAGACGTTTTAATAACTAGGTCCGAACAATAAATAAGGCATAATTATTATAATTTTAATATAATTTACATATTATATATTATAATTTATTTTGAATCTCGATCATAGTAAGTTTATTTAATATCGGAGGTCGATGTTAAAACATGTTAACGCTAGCAACATGCTAACACCAGTTTCAATGCGAACCACAGACCTAAGAAGAACCGGCAAAACGGCTTAGCCGTTTTGTCATTATGCAGATTCTTTTTTTTTTATTTATTACTTACATGACAACTGATCGCCTGATTAAATTACCGAGGCACATAGACATCATAACATGAATGTGGCTGATGGCTTAATCGTTTTACTTAATCGCATTATTGCGATATAAATGAACAGAATGAACAGATAAACAGAATTAATGAATGAACAGAGGAAGAGTAGACCTAAGAAGAAATTGATTCTTCTTCTTCCTATTCGTACACTCTTGACAGAGTGGTCGTGGTCAGTCGGATCCTGCGATACCGATGCTCTCGCGATGCGACGCCATGTGGCACGGTGTTTCGCAGAGTGTGTTATGAGGTCGGTCCATCGTGTTGAAGATCGTCCGCGAGATCTTTTGCCCTCGACTTTCCCTTGCACCACCAACCGCCCAATGGAGTCCTCATTAAGAGATCGATAGAAATGGATAGATTGCGTGAAAGACGATATTATGTGTAAGAGGGGTGTGAGCGAAGAAGTTGTATATGATAGAGGAGTATGGAAGGAGAAAATATGTTGCGCCGACCCCAGGTGACTGAGAAATGGGCAAGAGAATGATGATAAATGAACATAATATGGTACCTAGCAGTGAGGGTTTAGAGCTTAGAGCTTAGGGAGCTTATGCCCTAGCACCGAATCGTGAATTGTATTAATATATTTTGCTGCACCAGATTTCTGTAATAGTTCTCCTAAAGCTACGAACAGGTAATTGAAGATTTTGTAAGATTTCTACTGGTGGTAGGACCTCTTGAGTCCGCGCGGGTAGGTACCATCGCCCTGCCTATTTCTGCCGTGAATCAGTAATGCGTTTCGGTTTGAAGGGGGGGCAGCCGTTGTAACTATACTGAGATCTCAGAACTTATATTTCAAGGTGGGTGGCGCATTTACGTTGTAAGTAGATGTCTACGGGTTCTAGTAACCACTTAACACCAGGTGGGCTGTGAGCTCGTCCACCCATCTAAGCAATAAAAAAAAATTTGGTTGGAATTTTTATTGTTTTTTTAATTTCAATTTGATTTTGTTTTCTGTGTGATTGTTTTGCTTAAAGCGTTAATTTTTATTTACTAATACAAATAACCTAATATTATAATCAAAAGCATTAAATGTTGCAAGTTATTTATTCCAAGATGAATTACATTTATGTTACTCATACCAATTACTTATTACATTTGTTTAAAAGCAGAACGTATTAGCCGTTGTTATATTGCTGACCTCATCTACACTGGTGCTGTGTCAGCGACCCTCCTTCGCCGGATCAAGGCCGATTGGATTCCCGGATACACCTAACAGGACCACCACCGTAGCTGTCGGAGACAGGTATAAATATGACGCGTCGATGATTACCTGAGCTCCTTCTCGCCCACCAGCCCTGGTAAAACTGGAAAGGCCACTAGTAATCTCTCAAACATAAAAAAAAATGCAGTAGTGAGACAGCGAAGCTGTGTGCGACACATCTGTGTGCTTAATGCGAGTTTTTTAACGTTCTCGATAACGTAAAAGTTAACTCAAATTTCTATGCAATTGGAACAGTGCCTCTATTGGCAAACGTTAACTCAAGAGCGTTAAGAAACTCGCATTAAGCACACTGGTTCTCAGGGCCCTGAAACTGCGTTATTTTAAGAAAAATATTTTTCGGATGGAATCTAGCGACATCTTGTAGCGAATGCCCCTAAACTTATATGTTAAACACATAAAATAAGAATAAAAATATCATTAGTCTTTATTTGTTATAGACAAATTGATTAAATTTTACCAATTTGTGGTTTCTGAAAATTTACAAAATCCTCCATTAAAAATAAAATATAGGATAGGTAATATGTTACGGATATCTCTACAGGAGCAATTAGAAATTAATCGAAGCGAAGCCATCTAGTGGCCGACGCCCGTAAACATTTGTGTTGAGTGCTCGAGTTGCTTATATCTAACTATGTGTATTATACTATATCATGTGTTCGTTTACAGCTATGAAAATTCTCATGAAACTTAAAGCGTGTATACGCACATTAAATGAGTGACCATAAAACAGTACAATGGGCTCTATATACACAAAACAATACGCTTTTGTGCGTTTGTCCTCTATGCATAGTAGAGTTCATCCATACTACCTGGAGCCACTGCGTTCATCCACAGTTCGACTCCAGAGATCTTTTTTGCTTCATACAATTAGGCTTGAATGACCCTTCATGGTGTTTCTCGAGTACTATAACATGTCCTTTTTCAAACGAGGCTTGTGGAGAGTTAAATAGTAGGCAGGGGCTTCGCTCTGCCCCTGGCATTGCTGATGTCCACGAGCGACGGTAACCACTCACACACGCCTACACGGGCAATAAAAATAAAAACGCGTTCCTAAATCGTTATATAAGGTTTCTCATATACACCACTATACTTGAATATCTTAAAGTCTTAATTGTATAACGGCTGTTCCGCCCTTCAAATCGGAAAACTATTATTTCGCAGTTAATCAATATGACTGTAATTGACATCGTGCTTCAATACGAGCGCCTGGATTCACGATTCTATGGGCTCTGTGTGCTTAGTACGAGTTCCTTAACGTTCTCGATAGGGTGAAAGTTAACCCAATTTTGTAGGCAGTTCGAACAGCGCCCCTAGCGGCAAACGTAGGCAAACGATCCCATTCCATACAAATATGAGTTAACTTTTACGCTATCGAGAACGTTAAAAAACTCGCACTAAGCACACTGATATGCCGTGAAATCGGTAACCAATACGAACCAAAAAAGCATTATCAAAAATCTCACCACAAAATCGCTTTCAGATTTGGCGATGACGACTCAACAACGCCAAGACTTCCGATCGAAGCGAACGGAGACTTAGAGTTGATCGATAGACTGAGCAAGCTGCCTGTTGACAAGCAGCCCTTCTGGTTCATCAACTGGCAAGCCTTAGAAGCGCACAGGAAGAACCCACAAACCCACGTGCAGAGGCCTAACGGATTCATAGATCCCATCATGCCCAGTCAAAACGCTGCTACCGCCCAAGCAAACTCAAACGCAGTGTCGTCAGTATCGAGCAGCGGGTCATCGAACTCCACACCGACCAGTAGCTCGGTTCAAAGCAACGCTAATGCAGCTATAGGAGACAGATTTGATTCTGACGTCACCAATGTTAAACCAACGAGCACCGTTGCAAACAAACCCGGCGCGGAAAGTACGGTCACAGCTGAACCCTACAGCCTCCAATGGTTCGTAAATCATTATTCAACGACAACAAAAAAAACTGACGCGAAAACATCTCGATAGATATATTTATTCGTTTTCATCCAAATCACGAAAATTATTATACTTTTAAAACGAATCCCGAAAATATGATGCGCAACGTTCAACGTGCGAAAGAGACAACGAGATGTTTCTATCACACATCATTTTTATATTTAAAGTAGTAATAGTTGCCATCATTTAAAAAACTAATTTCAGTTATATTAACAAAATCCAATGTATTCGGATCGGCTTGTTGATCTAGTAATTAGTGAGTCTTGCTTCACTGCAGCACGGGATCATATATTCGAAGACCGTTTGCACGCTGAACGTTTATTTGGTTGGAATAAATCCTTTTTTCATCCTTCTTTTGATCATCCTTTCTTTTCTTTGAATGATTTTGATTCCGTGGTCTATTTCCAAATTAATAATTAAAAATTCACGCTTTCAAATTCAATATCGTTGTAAACAATAGGCATAATGTAGATCCTCAGAATTGATGTTGATAGAAGGGCTGGGTAACCTTAATAAATAATTTATTATAGCTTTCAAAATGTACTGATGTATTAAAAAAATAAAAGAGAAATGAATAAAACGCATTATACTGACTTTTTAATAAATAAAAACCTTAATTACTAAGCGTATTCTTACAGCCTAAACCCTCAGGAATTAGAGTATAAAATATAAAATAATTAGAAAATAGAAATGCACTTGTTCATTCCGCTACATTATGACTCAAAAAAAACTTAATATTTTTCATTCAGAAAAAAAACTTCGTTTTAGTTTAATTCTTTCTATAACTAAACGCATATAATCGTCTGTAGACATTTAGGATAAACATAATCCTTTACAAACACGAATTTGTTCCTTCTTTATAAACTTATACGATCATGCAAGATCTAATATATTATGTACTGCATTAATTTGTCAATTACATATTCGGATGGCATTAATTCATAAAAACTTCATAACGTGAATACAAATTATAAATGTATTACCATCTTACTAAAGGCGCTTTCTCCGAACAAAAAAATTCATTCTAGATGGCGCTTCATACGTTTTATTTGTAATGTGTGAAAACTTTAATTGCAATGTTCATTATATTTTAGTCATTTAATAAAATCATTTCGGCGCTTTCACTGTATATGCTTAAACTTTTAAATAAAATCATTAGTACAACACAATTATAGTTAAGTTATAGAAAAAAGAAAAAACTAAATTATCGATAATACGCACAGCCTGTGTGAATGTAAAAAAAAAACATATCGCAAAAATACGAATCTCATAAACCTTAGTATCAAAAACAAGGCCTCTCCTTAAGATTAAGGCACCGAATTATAATTACAAACTAAAATTAAAAAAAATGTTGTGTTTAATATCGGTTCTCTAAACACATAAAATGCATTTCGTATTGCAATGTGTGCTTTCACTATTAGGCATCTTCGAACGAATAAAATACTATTTCGTAATCACAGGGCTGTCATTTTAAAGTTAACAATTTATTAAATATTATTAATTTAGTAGGTATTTTGAAGTGTTAAATGATTATTGCATTGACCAACAAATAAATATATCCTTTTGTTCACCGATAATTTAACAACTTATTCACAATTGTTACGGATTTCCAGTACTCTAGTAAATTAAATATCCACAATTAAATTTAAAAAATAATAAAACAAACGAAACTCATAGATGCCCGATATCTTCACTGTAATTTTGAAAATCGGCAACACTGAAAGTGAATGTTGCCAGCTGTTAGATAATAACAATAAATACTCAGAAAATACTATCGCCTTATTTCTAAGCGACATGATTATTCGAACAATGAAAAACAGTGTATATTGCATTGGTTTTGTACAACGAAATTATTTTCATAAAATAATATCGACCAAAAAAAAAACGTACACAAACTTACAATATCAGGGACATTACGGTAAAAAGATACAAATAGTCGAGTAAAGAAAAATATTCGATACTTAATCATACAAACGCAATTAAAATATCGATTATGATATCGATTATCTATCGCAATACGATCGCGATACGATTCGATTAGTTTACAAACTTATGCTTTCAGCATGCAAGTAGGTTGTTTGCTAAATACAAAGAAAAATAAATAGTAACTTCATATAGATTCAGGTTTACAATTAACACGAATTAATACGAACGAACGAAAATTTACAAAAAGTATCAAGTTTATATAGAACCTTCTTAATGAAAATACTATATAACAACTAGCAAGGCTACATGAGCAAGACCGCATAAGTACTGTTGACAAAAAAAAGAACTTCGATATTTTACAATTAAAACTTAGTTGTTACGACGCTTTGGTTTACGATCGTAGTAACGCGTGTTTAAAGACAAACAAAGCACAAATTATGGATGCATAATTCGGCTTGATAATACTATGAAAGGGCATCACCCACAGGTGAAAAAAAAAAACAAAACAAAATAGAAAACAACAGATCATCGAGCTGTGTCAATTTAAAATCCGATTCGAAATTTGAAAGTGTCCGTACTTGTAATGTACCGTCTACATAAAAGTCTAGTAAAAAAAAGCAATTAATACCGTATTTCGATATCTAATATACAGAATTGCATGTCCGTTTGTTCGCGGTTTGCCCAGTCGTGAAATATTTACGTCGTTGTACTATTGACGTATTTAGCGTTAGCGAAATCGAACCGTGACAACGTAGATATAAAGTTCAGTTTTGAATGCGAATAGGATTTTAAATTCTCACATCGAATTCACCTTTTAATTGTGATTACCGCGTCGCCGCAAGCGAGATGCAAACGAGCAGTGTGATCGAGCTTAAAGTCGTATGTGCGGCCGCGCCCGTCGAAGACTTCGTTACAGAGGGTAGTCTCACACTCTTGTAGTTGCAAGATTTTTCGGACGCTTCGTTGGTCGTTAATTCCGAATACGCAGGGTAGTTCTGTATTTGTATGGGCTGTAATGAAAAAAAATACGAATTTAATTTACACAAAATGTTCTGGTTTTATTTGTTACTAGCGGCCCGGCCCGCCCTCGCTTTTCTTCGGAAACATTAAATTTTATTATTAATAGTTGAGTCTCGCGATGTTACCCGCGGTTGTTGTCGTACCGCGAGTGACACCGCGGGGCGAAGCTAGTTTAAAAAAAGTACTAGTTACTAGTAAACAAAAGTATTAGTTACTAGTAAAGCCTAAGTTACTCCTTATATCATCAGCTACTTTTCAGTGAAAGTCTCGTCAAAATCGTTCCAGGCGTTCGAGATTAGCCGGAACAAACAAAGACACAGACAGACAGACAGACAGACAGACAAAAATTGTAAAAAATGTTATTTTGGTGTATGTACCGTATATATATTTATATGCATGTAGTAAAAAGCGGTTATTTCAATATTACAAACAGACTCCAATTTCAGTTATATGTAGAGATATATATGTTATACGTCTCCCAAAGATCCCGTGAACGGGATATAATGTCTATCGCCACAGGGTAAGGTTGAATCTCGTCATAGTGGCATTACTCAGTGAGACATAGATTGTCAATATGAAACCTAAATGTATTTTTATTAACCCATAGACGTCCACTGCTAGACATAGAACCACTCCAAGCTTCGCCATAGTAGCCGGTTCTGCGCAGCCTGTATCAAATTCATTTTAATTTGATTAATAATTATATAGTATTTATAGTATATAATTAGTATCAATTATAATACTATCTATAATATATAATATATAAATCTGCAGTGGTTTTTACAGATGTTCCGTTATAACTACAGAAGCATCCGATTGACTTGAAACTTGGTATCCATGTAGAAAATACATGTACTTAATGGATAGGCTAATATTTATATGAGTGTTGGACTCCCTACACCAGCTGCGGGGGCGTTAATGATTAAAATCTTTGTGGGGGTGAGAAATAATAATGTTAATTTTAAATGCCCAGCGAAGCGGACGGGTACAGATAATTTTGAAGTCGTCGTGGCCTGAAGGATAAGACTTCCGATGCAACGGTGTTCGAATCCCGTGGGCGGGTACCAATTTTTCTAATAAAATACGTACTTGACAAATGTTCACGATTGACTTCCACGGTAAAGGAATAACATCGTGTAATAAAAATCAAACCCGCAAAATTATAATTTGCGTAATTACTGATGGTAGAACCTCTTGTGAGTCCGCGTGGATAGGTACCGCCGCCCTGCCTATTTCTGCCGTGAAGCAGTAATGCGTTTCGGTTTGAAGAGTGGGGCAGCCGTTGTAACTATACTTGAGACCATAGAATAGATGGGTGGTGCATTTACGTTGTAGATGTCTATGGGCTCCAGTAACCACTTAACACCAGGTGGGCTGGGAGCTCGTCCACCCATCTAAGCAATAAAAAAATTGTATTTATAGTATATAATTAGTATCAATTATGTTACTATTGTATATTAAACAAGAGTATTATTAGTTCTTTGATTATTTAATCGCAAATTAAATGCAATGAACAATCCTCACCATTCCCCAGGAATCGTCCCGTTTCTTGCAGAAGGTCATGTGCATGCCGTTGTACAGGGACTTCTCGATCTGTTCGGTCAGCAGCGGCTCCTCCCAGGGCATCTCGTTGAGGTGATCCATGAACGACTTGTTCAGGAACTCCGACGGTTCAACGATCACTAGTTCCTCTGGGAACGAGAAATTAAAGTAAGTTACATATATTATAATATTTCGCGAGGAGTGAAACGATATATATGGTTTAACCGACATTTTTGCAACTTTAAAGGAGAGCTATTTAAAATTTAAAATTTAGCAAAAATATAATAACAAACAAAACTTCTTCAGCTGTTTGAATGGAGTAAACTTGATTGAAGTTCAATTAAATACATCGAACTGTTGATGTTGATACCAAACAAAACGCACCTTTAATTACAAAGATAAATGTCGCATATTAAGCGCGTATATATATATATATATATATTTTTTTATTGCTTAGATGGGTGGACGAGCTCACAGCCCACCTGGTGTTAAGTGGTTATTGGAGCCCATAGACATCTACAACGTAAATGCGCCATCTACCTTGAGATATGAGTTCTAAGGTCTCGAGTACAACGGCTGCCCCACCCTTCAAACCGAAACGCATTACGGCTTCACGGCAGAAATGGGCAGGGTGGTGGTACCTACCCGCGCGGACTCACAAGAGGTCCTACCACCAAACATACGGTTATAATGAGACTTCAATATGTTGCTCTGTAAAAACAAAGATTTTATGGATTTTTTTTTACTAAATTAACGTGTAATAAAATACCAAATAACGACAAGTCTATTTTCATTGCAAATTCGTTTGCAATTCTACATAGAAATAAATTTTATAGCTTCATATTTTTTCATCTCTTTTTTCATCATTGTTTTCTTGATATTCTACATTAATTCCGATTACTTTACAAGGCTAACAGAAAAAAAAAACAATGTACATGGCTGCGTTTGTGTGCGTCCCTACACTTATTTACAGAAGGACCATTCAGTTGTCTGTACTTACTCATCAGTCCAACGCCTTGATCGTCTCCTTGCTTGGCGGTTTCGTCGGTGCTCCTCTGTTTCACGTCGATCTCCAGCTGCGGCGGTAAATTTTCGAGGCTTCTGTAATCATAACACGACTCCCGTTACCATGGAAGCAAATTGATAAATCGAAACTTTGGTATTAAAATTAGAACCCGTATAAATTTTTTTTATTGCTTAGATGGGTGGACGAGCTCACAGCCAACCTGGTGTTAAGTGGTTACTGGAGCCCATAGACATCTAGAACGTAAATGCGCCACCCACCTTTAGATATAAGTTCTAAGGTCTCAGCTATAGTTACAACAGCTGCCCCACCCTTAAAACCGAAACGCATTACTGCTTCGCGGCAGAAATAGGCAAGGCGGTGGTACCTAATCATGCGGACTCACAAGAGGTCCTACCACCAGTTAAAACTACATGCATCGATCACTATAGTACTTACATTGTATAGTATATAGTATAGTAATTAGACTGAATCGTAACAAAATAAAACTTACCCGGATGACAAAAATATGTTTTCGACTTGCGTAAAGTTCAATCCGTAAAACTTTTTGACTCCGAACGTTTCGAAGAACTCTTTGACCGGTGTCATTGAATAGCAACCCGCCAGCTCCGTACGAGGGTAGTACAAAATGAAGGATAGGCACATTTCCTGCAAACAATATCTATATCTTAATATATATAGGTGTTTCCTGAGCGCTATGACTTGTCCTTCTTCAAACGAGGCTTGTGGAGAGTACTGCTCTGCCTGCTCTGGCATTGCTGGAGTCCATGGGCGACGGTAACCATTTACCATCAGATGGGCCGTATGCGTACAAGACCAATAATTATATATATAAAAATTACGTTATATGTTGTTTATCCGCGATGGACACCTAAATTAGTGAACCGATTTTTACATTTTTAAAAAAATAATTATTTTGATCCAACTTAGGCCTTATAGAATGTTTTTTTTTTCGATTAATGGTCGCAATATTTATTAATTAACAATAAAATGATTTCTTACGTTGATTATTGTTATCTTAAATCAGTTTTTACAGACAATTGTACCATTGTCTAACATCAATATCTCATAGATGGCGCTGTGATAAAAATACCATCGTTTCATATAAGCTACAATTTGGCATAAACACCACGTGTTGCTGAGGCTTAAGTCCAAGTGAAATTTATTTCGTAGTAAATGCAATACAGTGAAATCCAATTATTCTTACTTTATTAATTTTTAGTAATAGCATAGCCGGCCACGTGTTATTTAGAAACAAAAAACAAAATGTGTGCAATTCACACGTGGGAGAAGTGAAACCTTCCAAAATTAAAATACAATTATCTGAAACGTCTTAAGTATATGTAAAATTTTGTCATTAGTAAATAATTGTAAGGTAGCGCCCTCTGTGAATTGATATTTTAATTTCACGTATAATCCTAAATTAACAAGAGCTTTCATACACACGTTATTATTAAAAAATCTCACAGATGGCGCTGTATTAAATAGTATATTTCTGTCTCATTCTTTGCTGGCTTCATCCTACACATTTTTGTATTTGTGTCTCTTACCTGTCGTTTTTTCCGTTGCATCCGGTTTGAAATCACAACGATTCTAAAGAAGTTTTTACTTCAAAAACCTTAGCCACAGCAACGTGTGGCCGAGTCTGCTAGTTATATATGTATATATTACAACATCATATTTAACACCAACGTTTTACAACTGCGGAAGTACTGTAAGCCTCAGTGCTTTAATAAGCACGACGACCGGTGTATACGAGACGCTAAGTTATAAATAGATGTTTCTAGAATGAATATGTGTTCATGAAGAGCATTAGTTATTTGTGTTAAGATCTTTTGGTAGCAGCACTGTCTTGGAGATTACAACCGGAAATACAATCATCATCAACCAATTGTTTGGGAGGTAAAATAAACCTTATTGTAACGGCATTAGGACCTCGACTACTATTCTCAATGTGAACTGTGGGGTTAAGGTCACATGTATATGGTAAAACCGTAACGCTTAAGGGTAGATTCAAGAGACCATACTAAAGTTTAATATCGTATTCTTAATTATGTATATTATGTTATTTATATTTTGAAAGTCACCTGTTTCGCAGAATAGCCCCCCAAAATAGGTTTAGTTCTCGACGTAGTGTCGTAAGTGCATTCAGTGATCAGCGTATCTCCTCTCTTGAATTTCCTACCGCCGGGCACCACTCTTGATTGTTGGTAGCGAGCATCATATGAGTTCTCCTAAAAACAAAAAAACGAAAATCAGTCAACTTTCGATAAAGCGGATTTTTATAACAGCGCCATCTGTTGTAAGCGTTATAAAACTGCTCACAAAATTTAAATTTATAGATGCAGCGCCACCTGTTCGTATTTTGATAAAGTTAATATGTGCCAACAGATGGCGCTAAAATGAAAATATTTACCTCCGATATCCTCGGCAACTCCTGCGTGCCCCTAACATGTTTGAGGGCTATCTTTCTCGCTGTTCCGTGAGCGTGAAGAAGAACTGACACGATGTTGATGCCCTCGTCGGGTAGGGTCTGGAATCGATATTCAAATTGTGCATAAACTAGGGGGCAACGCTAACAGTAAAATCCGGTTAATACGATCCCGTTTTATACGTTTTTTCTGAATAGCGCGTCACTTTACGACAGTCCCTTGAGGTATACCTTTTATATAACGTTGTCACACTGAATACATTTCCCATTTGTGCTGGATATTTTACTGCCATCTGGACGTTTTTCCGCTCAGAGTGGTCGTAGGCGAATGTTTGTGACGACAGAAAACGGAAACATCTATTAACCCTTTTAGCGCGAAGCGTCGATGGATAGACTATATCGAAAGATAGACTAGATACAAAAATCTAGATTCTAAATTCGCTAAATAAGAATGAAAGGCATATCCAGGACTATACATTTTCAAATTTTAATTGCTTCTAATTTATTATATATGAACACGATCGCTTCTCGTCAAGATATCTTCAAATAGATCATCACGATTTTTTAGATGGATTAACGAGCTCACGGTCCACCTTGCGGTAAGTGGTCACCGGAGCCCATAGACATCAACAACGTTAATGCGGCCACTCAACTTGATACTTGATTTCTAAGTCTCCGTTTTACAGTACAACACCTTTCAAACCGAAACGCGTTACTGCTTCACGGCAGAAATAGACGGGGTAGTGGTACCTACCTGTGCGGACTCACAAGAGGTCCTACCACCAGTAATTACGCAAATTGTTATTCCTTCAGCGTGGAAGTCAATCGTTAACATTTGTTAAGCACAATTTTCATTAGAAAAATTGGTACCCACCTGTGGGATTCGAACACCGTTGCATCGCTCGATACGAATGCATCGGACGTCTTATCTTTTAGGCCACGACAACTTCAACTACTCTAGAGACACTACCTACTCGTACAGGCTCAAAAGACCTCGTACCACGAGTGTATTAAAGTGTTAGAACACTCACCGTGTCGGTACACTCGGAGCTGCATATCCCCACGGTCCTGTAGCGCCGTTGTTTCGGGGGGATCACGTGGAGGGCCGACACCCCTATGCCGGCGCCGAGGAGGGCGGCGTCGTGTTGCCTCAAAGCGGGCGTGTAGTGCACCCTTATACCGGAACTGTCCAGAACTGAGAATTAAAACAAGATGATTTTGAACGTCGCTCTTAGACTCTTTCGCTGTTTGAAATGTTTTAATAGCATTGCGATTCATCGAAATTACAAGTTTCCTAAAAAAAAAAAAAATTGCCCCATCAAGAGGAATAGGTAATTCGATGCGTGAAAAAAAGCTATTTGGTTTAAGCGAGATTTTTGAAACTTTACAGGAGAGCCATTTAAAGTTTAAAATTTGGAAAAAACGTCATAACAAAAAAAAAACATCAATTCTTCAGCTATTTAAATGGAGTAAGCTTAATTGAAGATAAATTAAAAACATCGAACTTTTAATGCTAATACCAAATAAAACGCAGCTTTAATTAGAAAGATAAAAGTTGCGTATTAAGCGCTATTTCGCTTAGACCAAATTGCCTTTAACCCCTGCAATTAATTATCGATGAAAAATAAAATAACCTTTTTTTTTTTTTTTTCCTACCTAAGCTGATAGCCTTAAGAGGCTATATCAGCGGAACCTTAACTAGTAGGTGAGCTCACGGGGCTCAAACCTGACGACGTTGCTAACACGAACCCTAACCAGAGCCGTGCTTCGCAGAATCTACTACCGGATCGGAAACGCGACCCACTGAGAAGATCCGGCGAGAAACTCAGTGGACTAAAATTACCAATTATCACTTATTACCAACTTTAAAATTACGTTCATTAACTCACCGTCGTGCAACGCTTGATTATCGTAATGAACCTCGAGCATGTAGAACGAAACCCCTCCGTCTTCCCCCAAGGGTATACCGACGCTTTCCGGCAGGAATTCACCTGAAAATTTCGCAAGCTAATTAATTTAGTTTCGCGCCAAACGATAATGAACCTTACGACGATAAGATTAAGACGCGATGAATAACGTCCAATTAATTGAGTTGTTAATTTAAATAACATGTTTCGGTGAAATTTGAACATTTCGATGCTATCGATTTTTAGTAGAATTGTTTAGTTATGAAACTTAAAACATTGAATTATTAAATTAAGATTTTAATCGTATTTGAATGTTTAATTTATTATCTATATATTAATACGTGAAGCAAAAACTTTGTATCCCTTTTTACGAAAATTGCGCGGACGGGGCAGTATGAAATTTTCCACACTCATAGAGAATACAGAGGAGGAGTGCACAATGCTAATATTTTTTAAAAATAATTAAAAAAAGATACATTAAATCAATAAAGAAAACATTACACACACTACATACCATGTATTTAACGCACACACACATGCATACTATTTATTGTCAAACTTTTGTTTTTGACATCTGTTGTCAATTTGAGAATAGATTAAATATTGTTTGTCTTTGTTAATATTTTTTATAGTGTAGTCTTGGCGAAATTTGTGATTATAGAAGTATAAAATACAATCATAATAGTGTACAAAACTTACAATTCCAATTAATTATAGTCGAATTTCGACTACTGCGGGAGCTCTAGTTTTAATTATTGGTCTTAACTTTAGAAAATGCTTTTAAAGTCCCAAAGAACTTGATTAATGATATCTGATGTATTTATTTACCTTGAGATCCAATAGCCCAAGCCGCAATTGGCCTGGCACAAGTAGCCCAACCACTTGGCCGTATTGGTCCAAAATACCCGTCGCTATCAGCCCAAACGTTCCACAGGTGTTTGTCTTCGTCTTCAGCGCATTCATATAGAACCATATGATGTACAGGCGAAAAACTATTATTGTCTGCGACGGGTTTGCCGTTCTTTATTGGCCGACTATCGATCAGAGGTTGGTAGCCAATTATATGATGCTTCTTAGGCAAGTCCGGAGCTTTGAAGATTTTACACCAAAATAGCGTTGCCATATCGTGGGGGATGGTCAACTAGAATATAAATTAAGACATCGTGTATTTTAAACATACCAAATGAATACGTACTGTTAATACATCTGTGTGTTTAGTGAGAGTTTTTTAACGTTCTCGATAGCGTAAAAGTTAAATCAAATGTATATGGAGGTGAAACGTTTGCCTGCGTTTGCCACTAGAGGCGCCGTTCCAACTGCATAATCTTTATGCCACGACGACTCCAATACCTATACTCCCATATAAATACTTACATTAGTCAATCTGACATCCCAATGTTTTAGAGGTATCGTCTCGGGTTTCGACACTGGTTGCAGAAGTCTTAATGGTCTAGATCCACTCTTCATGTGTTTTGGAAGCTGTCCATCTGAGCCCTCAGGTCCAAGCGCCCAAAGCACTTGTACTGTGTCCTCCTAAAACAAAACAAATATTGGCTATAGGCCACTTATCAGATCGAGTGGTCATTATCCTTTCTGCAGTTGAGCTGTGGAAATGAAAAGAAATTGATTTTAAATTGAAATACAAACTATCCTGTTTCTTAAGTTGCACCAAACTACACACAGCGTGTGAGTTCTATTAAAAATGGATCCATTAGTTCAGAAGTTCATCGCGGACAAACGAATTGACGCAAAATTTTTATATGTGTAAAGATAGTAAAAATCTGAATGGTCTGTTAAATGCTATTTGTCTTTCTGATTTTAATAGCTATTTACGATTTTTAATCTCAACTATATTAAAAAATGAAAAACTTTTAAAATTTTCCAACATAATTTTAAAAATAAAATATATTTGAAACTGTGATTTCTTAGTGATGTTCGTCGAATTTGAATCGTTAAGCGCACACTAGTATAGATATAGAATACTTACGCCAATAACAAAGTCTTGTCTATCGCAAGTGTTGAGCTGCCTCCGAAATTCCACAGTCGTGTGGGTCGCATTCTGATACCCAGATATGAGCTCGTAATTCTGAACGTCGTCGGCTACTGGTAGATCTTCGTGCTCGGGTCCGTGACAATCCTGAAATAGGAATTCAGGTTAATCAAATAGTTCGGTTACTAATACCAAGAATTATAGTCGAATCCGCCGATACATAAAGCGCTATCTATCTATATCCATAATTATATACCAAAGGTATATAATTCAATCAGAACCTATCTGTAAAGTTAAACGGATGAAATCGCGTATTTTTTTCTAAAGATAACAAATCATAATTTTCCGTAGGAGAATAAAATGTTTTCGGGGGATAAAAGTTAGGTAGCTTATGCCACTAACATGACCTAAAACTTTAGAAAATCATATTAATGCGTTGCTTCATTTCGACGTGCAAGAAGGTAATACATACAGACAACCAAACAAACACATTTTCAAATTTACATAATTAAAGTATGGATTTTAAACATACGTATGGCAAGTTCACACTCTGACGGTAGCGAAATGAAGGCGTCGCATCAGGCCATTGAACGCTCGTCAACCGTACGTACAATGACCACTACTGCGTGCGAAATCATTAGCAAAATATAATTTATCTTATTCATCTTTCATAAGTATTATGTTATTATAAATCATTATCCTAATTACAGCATTACCTTTCATTGTTTTCGTGTAGAGCGATTTCACACACGGTATTATTCAGTGTGCTTAGTGCGAGTTTTTTTAACGTTCTCGATAGCGTCAAAGTTAGCTCATATTTGTATGGAATGGGATCGTTTGCGTACGTTTGCCGCTAGGGGCGCTGTTCCAACTGCATACAAAATGGGGTTAACTTTTACGCTATCGAAGCCCGGGACACCAGTGCGCCAGGATACCAAAACTGCTTGTGCTGTGCGGTCTTGTCGAATCCTTTCGCGAGTGTGTTTTATCCAGAAGTGTTGTGTCGGTATGGTGACGCCCCGAACAAACGAAATTCGGGACCCGGGAACAGGTAAGTTGATTGACACTTTCATTCTTTAACATTTGTTAATTGCGGGTAGATGTTGATCAGCCTGGATAGCTGCGTACTCAATTTATTCTAAGAATAAAACAGAGTTACGTTAGCGCCATCGAGACTGGCCATCTGTGTCTGTTCCCAGTCCTCCCCTACCCTTTGGGGTTAGGAGGGGTTGCAAACCAAACCCGAGTTGACGAATTAGTTAACTGAGTCGTCAGAACGNAAAACGTGTGTGCATGTTCTTTATCTTCTTTAATGATGGTCACGTCTCTTCATCTCACTCTGTTTTAGCATAACAGAATGTTATTGTTAAATTAACGTCCGTCTGGTGTAGTGGTAAGTGACATGGTCACTACACTGGGGGGTCGCGGGTTCGAATCCCGCCAAGGGAAGAAGATATTTGTATGATAAATATAAATGTATTTTCCAGGGTTATGGATGTATTATAAATATATGTATGTGTATAATAAAAATCTTACATTTATTTCCGTTATCTGGTACCTGTAACACAAGTTCTTTACGAACTTATCACGGGACCAGTTAACGTGGCGTGATTGTTTTAAAAAAAAAAACAAAAAAAAAAAAATATTGAGGAGAGCAGCAGCCGCCCCCGGAAGAAGGGAAGAAAGAAGAAGAAGAAGGAAGAAAGAAGAGAAGAAGAGAAGAGTGAAGAAAAAAGAAGTCGACCCCACACATAACATCACGCCTGCCTGATACCCCATCCAGCAGTGCATCACCCCTGCCTTATTAGGCAGGGAGCTACATGTCCGGGCAGAGGGGTTTCCCCGAGGCCCGCTCCGTGCCCCCCCTAAGGGGGTACGACGACCCCACGACGCTATCGAGAACGTTAAGAAACTCGCACTAAGCACACTGATTGCACTCGTAGCGCTCTGGCTATGATTTTGAGTTTTACATCCTTAACATAATAAACGGTCATCTCTGTCAGATAACCGTTTAAAAATTTCTGCTACAGATCAAAATGCTTTCTATCGTTCTCATAATTCGTTTTCCCGTACCTATTCGCTAGTAGCAGAAGGGGCTATTTCAGGCTTAGATGAGCGAGTTCACGGGATTTAACCTGGTATTTTGCTAACACTGGCCTTTTTTTTTATTGCCCTTGTAGGCAGACGAGCATACCTGATGGTAAGATGGCCTTAACAAAGAGCAGTGCTTCGCTGAATCTACCACCGGATCCTGAGATAAGCCGGCGAGAAAATCAGTCGATTGTATCTATGGTCTACATTGTTTGTCGAACTTCACGACGAGTTCGACGTGGACGGTGACCGGTACTTGAAAAGCCTAAGCACCGAGAGTTGATTCGAAGACATGTTTAGGACGTTTGCGTTGCCCCATCGCCTGGGTCTGATAATTAATTATTAGCCTTTATATCTTTAGCCATTGATTATTATTAATAATTATTAGAGAACGATAAGAGGGTTACACTGTCGCGACGCTTTGTCGAGGTGCGTTCTTATAACCCCTTTTTATCATATAAAAGAGAGTTCGTCATTCATTTCTGCAATTTCATACCATGAAAAAATGTTATAATTTTCTACTTTTTTTTTTAACTGGCGCAAAAACTGGATCGCCTGTGCACTTCATTGGTATCGTTTCGGAAGTATTATTTCTGGTAAAAGCGAAGCCGTACAAATATTTAGAGGAGGAACTTGCGGTTAGGAGCAACCAAAACAAAAGTTACCCAGCTGCATTTTGGAATGTGATATTTAAACGACAAGTCGGATGCATATTTTTAACCGACTTTAAAAAAGGAGGAAGTTCTCAATTCGACTGTATTTTTTTATGTTTGTTACCTCATAACTTTTGACTGGGTGAGTCAATTTTTTTTTTTTTATTGCTTAGATGGTTTGACGAGCTCACAGCCCACCTGATATTAAGTGGGTACTGAAGCCCACATAAATTTACAATGTAAATGCGCCACCCACCTTGAGATATAAGTTCTAAGGTCTCAAGTATTCGAACCGAAACGCATTACTGCTTCACGGCAGAAATAGGCAGGGCGGTGGTACCCACCCGCGCGGACTCACAAGAGGTCCTACCACCAGTAATTACGCAATTTATAATTTTGCGGGTTTCATTTTTATTACACGATGTTATTCCTTCACCGTGGAAGTCAATTGTGAGCATTTGTTGAGTACATATTTCATTAGAAAAATTGGTACCCGCCTGAGATTCGAACACCGGTGCATCGCTCAACACGAATACATCGGACGTCTTATCCGTTAGGCCACGACGACTCGATGATTTTGATGATTAATTTTTTATTAGAAAGTTGACGCTTCCCGTGTGGTCCCATTTCAATTTAGTCCAGTTCTGATAATGGTATCCATGAGGAAACCATATAAGTCTTAAATTTGCATTAAGTACGTGCGCGACAAATAGATGAATAACTCAATAACGCAATATCACGCCAACAGATTTTGATGATTATAGTTTTTAGTCTATATTAATTTGTTTTGGAATATCTTTTTTTTTTCTATTTGAAGTCGGTTTTTGTTAAAGAGTGTCTATTTACAATTATTTTTTTACTGTAGTTATATACCTTTATCTGGTAGTACTAACTACCAGACACTAATCTTCAAACGAACAATAGAGCTGAGACGATTGAGTTAAATGTCTATTTCAAAAATATCGATTTATTTTGTTAATCATTGAACCATTAAAATCCACATTAGGGAACGTACCCATACTACGTGACTTATTTTTTTAGTTTTTTCGACCTCTCCCTCCCCTCGGTGATCACTAGTAGTATATGCCAAGACCCCCCGTCTATTAAAGACCGCAGAACAAATCTTTTGACATTATTTAAAATCGGACAAAGCGATGAAACTGCAACCACATTTCCAAACAGCTGATGACGCTTTCAAACAGATGTTCGACTTATAAAGATAAATCCGACTTTTATTATTGTTTTTTTTTTTTTGGGCGGCAGATGTCGCTAGCACGTGTCATGCCTTCTGTTTGAGCACCTGGCTTTGTAATGATAGGGCGGTACGCGCAAATGTTCGCTGTATTCTGAAGATTATAGACATAATATTACAAAAAAAACACTAGAAATAATTGTATAAAATACATAACCGCATGTGAAGCTTTATGAGGATTCTCTATATATTTATTTTCGTGTGAAAAGGACACTGCCTGCATTCTAAGTTTTAAATCAGTTCAATGATCGAGAGATGTGTTCAGAGCATTAAAGTAATTACAATTATTTGTTTTGATTAATAGTTTAGACGAGCTTTAGTGTTAATCAATATCAATCTTTATTATAGATAATATTATGTTTTTTTTTTTCATCAAAATGATAACAACACAACAAAAGATCCATTTAAGAAATGAAATAAATGTAAGTCTTGAGGTTTCAGTGATTGGGGTTACTTTGACAACTTGGTGTGAACGAATCTTCATCTAGACGAGTTGAGATCGTCGATAATATAATATTGAGATACGTATGAGAAGATCGAGGAAATTTAAGCAATTTCTTCACTGAATAAAAAAAAAAAAAGGTGCGCGTGCAACTTGGTGCACGTGAAAGAAGTGAAACTTCTTTTGCGTTGTATAGTAATCTAGTTTTCTTCATTTTCGTACTTCGATTTCGAATCGTCTCGGGTAACAAACACGCTTCGTACGTAACGCGTAAGTGATGTGCTAACTTTATACAATTTTATCTAAAAACCCGATTCTGGATTTAAAATACTAACTAAAAATAACAATATAAAAAACAAATAAAAAAAAATTTGTAAAGTTAAAACTAACTACTTAAAAGTTAAAACTAAACTCTACTAACTAAAAGCCATAGGTAACTAAGTTATATTCACATTTTTTTTGTTTTCGCCGCTACAGTATTGTAATACTTATATCCCACGACTGAGAGGAATGTAATGACGCCTGATATGTTGAAAGGTTTAGGCTTTAAGGGTGTCGAAGAATTAGACATAAACATGGACACGCTCAAAAACCTAGTCCTGCGCCACTTTAGTAAAAAGACAAAAAAAAGATGCGTGGTGTCGTGGGACACCGGATAGGAACGAAGTTCTTCATTATAAAAATATTAATTTTAAGTTCTATTCGAGGC